ACAAGCAGGCTGTACTCCCTGCAGGGCAGCTCACTTTTTTAATTTTTCCAGGGTAAAAGTGTTTGTCTTTGACATGGTAGGACTAAGTTATTGAACTTTCGAAGTTATGCTCTGCTACTGGGAGCACAAACTCCTTCTCAAGTGTTGTGGGAGACCTTTTCTTGGATTTAGTCACTGAAATTTACAAGGCTTTGTGGGACAAGCCATTTTTGTTTTTAAACTTTAAAGCAACTGATGTGATCAGATGCCATGCGGTCATATAATTTAATAATCAGAAAAGCCAGCTTCAGACACTGCTCCCAACTAATTCAAATGTGTTACTTAACTGGAATTTAGGGCTACTTGAAATATGAAGAGGTATTTTGGCTTTTCAAGTAATCGTGTCAGGAAGGATGTCAGAGGTAAATCTCGATTGCTGTGACTATCTCTAACTTCATGTCTTGGTTATCAGACAGCTTCTGTGAGGCTACAGCCATCTTGCAAGTGTATGAATGTTGGGCCTGGAGGAGATGGCGGTAAGGAGACACTTGCAAAGGCAACTGTAGCCTTTCTAAGTGCCACCTATGGTTAGTTACAAGAGGTACATCCCTCAAGCGCTGGGGAGCAGGAGGCCACTTTGTCAGGTCCTTTGAAACACCTTTGTAGAGGAGCTGGTCTTGGGAGATGGCAGAAGAAAGAGCCTTCTGATGGACAGGGGCTGTGAGGGTGCAGTTGGCCTATGAGATGGTGGGACTGAAAAGAAGAGAGTTTGGGAGGGCAAAGCACACTGTTGTCAGCCCAAAAATCTGGTTGGAAGGGGACCTTGGCTGCTGGGCTTGGTCTGGGACTGTCTTCACTTGGGTGTCTTAGTGTTGCCTGTCAGTGCCCCACACTTGAAGTTTCTTGATAGCTAATTCAGTAACACTGGTCTTCATTTTCATAGATGTTTCTGTTTACTTGAGCTGCCCAGATGACATACAGAGCAGTCCTGGTAATGTTACTGCTGGGTGGCAGTGGCTTGGTGAGGGTGAAAGGAAGATGGTCAGGCAGCTCTCCCTTGGGAGAATGGGATTCTTCCAGTTACTGTGCTTGTTTTTTGTTCAGGCTGTCTGACCTTGCCGAGCATCTTACCTAGAGCAATAACTGAGGAGTTCCTCTGAGCTACCTCATTAAAAATAATTAGGAATTAAAATGATGAAACTTAGCCATCGGAAACCAAATGGATCTGAGCCATGTATCTGTCCCATGAAGTTTGTTAGATGGAGATTAACTTTTCTCCCAAGGAGAGAGGCCCTTTTTTTATCTGCCTTTGCCTTGATCATATAATTGTAAAGCCAACACACTAGTTAGAGGAAACATTGAAGTTAATGACAGGAACAAAAATGCTTTTCTGGAAGCTTTAGAGAAAGACTTCATAGCTTATTGTTTACTTACTAGGCTTTCTTTGCCTGATGCTTTCTGCCTTTTCTGTAAGGTGCCTGAGGGAAGGGCACTGTTACATCATGATTATATTTACCAGTTCTGCTGCTTAAACATAAAACATCATGAAACCTGTAGCTGGGGGAGCTCATTTGTGTGGTGCCTTTTCTGCCTTTCTTAGTGTGCTCAATTTAGGGTGATTTGACTTCTATGAGTCCTCCATTAAGGCC